TTTTCTAAAAATACATTTTTTGGACCTTATACTGGTGAACGACATCGATCAACTGAACGAGCTAATCAATCTGGTTATGTCAGTAGTTACGATAAAGAAGAATATTTGTTTATTTGTTGATTAATAGGCATGGACTATCGAAGATGATGCTGGAAGTGTTTATGATTATGTAGATGCTAGTGATCCACATCGAAGCAATTGGCTTAGGTAAAGTAAAGATATTCAATGTTAGCACTTTGAGATGTAATAATAAGGTTTCTTAGATATGTCAATTGTCCAATTGGACAAAATGATGAAAATTTAACAGCAATTCAGTTTAATGGTGAAGTTTATTATCGAACATTACGTAATATTAAAGCAGGCGAAGAAGTAAAAATAATATACATTGTTTTATTAAACTTAACTGTTTTTTTTCTAGTTATTTGTTTATTATGGTGAAGAGTAGGTCTTTTTTTCTTTTGAACTCATAATTCTATTAATATACTTTTTTTAAGATATGCTAAAGCACTTGGACTTGATGCTTTTGATCATTCAATAGGTAAACTAATGATAAAATTTATTATATATTTTTAAAAATTTTTTAATTTAAAGAAAATCAAACGATTGTTCAGTCATTCCTAACTCCACATTCTATTGCTTCATCAAAAACGGAACAAAAACAACAACAAACTACTTCAGCAAAAAAACAAAAAACTATTAAAAGAGATACTATTGGATAATACTCGATAACCTTGCAACTTAATTGATTGCTTTTAAAAGCTCATATCTATTATCTTTTATATTAGATTTATGCTAGACACATGTTTTAGGTATAATTATGTACATGATTAATTTAAGAGATCATTAAATCACAAAGAAATTAAAGATATTTTTCATTTTTAAGCGTTTTCATTCTTTAATCTATAATAATCAAATTTCTAAGTTGTTTTTGGTTTTTTTGAAGTCAGTGTATCGAAACCTTCCTATCATCATGCTTGTAGAAATAATATAATGACTATGACCGTACATCGAAACTAAATAATAACATCAACAAGCTGAAAATTTATTTGATAAAGAAATCATTTCATAAATTATGTATTTTAATGCGAAAACAAACTTTCATCCGAATACCTTACAGAAAAGCTTTGTCTTACTTCAAATAATATATCATTTAATAAAACACTCAATAAGTCTCTTTTCTCATGTAAACTATATAGTTCTTCAGCACTTCGTTTTTTAGAACGTTCATTTTTTCAATTAGTATCAACAGTTGGAATAGCCATTTACACCTTTACAGATACAAAGTTGTTTCTTTTTTATTCAACAATAGTATTTTATACTAAACCTGTGAAAAATTTTCTTCATATTTTTGTGTTTTTTAAAAACTATTCTCAATAAAACTCTTCAATGATTTAGTATGAAACACTTTGCTTGTTTTAACAGAGAACAAAAAAGTGTCTTTGATCTTACTTTCATCGATACTGAATCTACAGTTTTTTTATTCATTGGCATAAAGTTTAAAGCATGCTCGGTGCACAACATTTCATGATAAACTGCATACATTCTACCTTTATAAGATTTTTAGGTTCTGTTTTTTTTTGCGTTCTGTCGATAATGTTGTCAACAGATGTGTTTGCTTCGTTCTGTTTCTTGTTCTACACAATATTATTTTCGAAAGTAACCAGGTGAAATTTGTCCTTGAGTGAAAACGAAAAGTCGAGAAAAAACAAGACACTGTCTATATAAAGAAGAACGGTGATCTTTCTTTTCATTCAAACAGCAACATCTACAGACAAGTTTCCTTTCAACCAAAAATTACAACAAGATCAAAATGAGTGAATCAAAATCAAATGAAAATGCTGCTGCATTATTAAATATTTGTCACCCACGGCAATGTATGGCACAAAACTACCTTCTCGTATGGGTAGATGCCAACATCGATGAAACAAAGAAGGACTGCCAAGATACACTGGCTCAATTGAAGAATGTGATCAACAACGTCAAACTATGCACGCAACCGGATCAATGCATACAAGTGCTCAACCAATTTGATCGTGAAAAAGCCTTTGTTATAACATCAGGCTCATTTGGCCAACATTTGGTTCCTGAAATCCATGGCATACCCAAATTAGATGCCATTTACATCTTCTGTAGCGACAAATCCAGACATCAAGGATGGACACAAAACTGGACAAAAATCAAAGGTGTCAGTACAAACGTCATAGAAATTTGTCAAGCATTGCAATTTGCTGTTAAGCAACGCGATCAGAACTCAATTGCTATAAGCTTTCCCCGAGTAAATGAGATGGCTTCAACTGAAAATTTAAATCAGTTGGAGCCAACTTTTATGTACACCCAAATTTTAAAGGATAATCTTGTTGATATGCAGCATGGCGAACAGGCCGTCAAACAATTTACTACTTATTGTCGAAATAATGATTGCATGTCGTCAACCAATATTAATCGTTTTGAAAAAGAATACCGTGTTGAATTAGCTATTTGGTGGTATACTTTCCCATCCAATATATATTCTATGCTCAATTATGCTCTTCACTGTATGGATGTCGATATAATTATTAATATGGATTTTTTCATTCATGATCTTCATCAACAAATCCAAAAACTACACCAACAACAGGTTCATACTTATTATGGCAAACCATTCATAGTTTACCGAGGACAAGGTTTATCCAAAGCAAATTTTGAAAAACTCAAAAAATCAGAAGCTGGTTTAATATCTTTCAATAATTTTTTATCTACTAGCATCGAGCAAGACAAAGCTCTCGGACTTGCTTATAGTGCGTCAGAAAACGTGGATTTGATTGGAATTTTATTTATAATGTCTATTGATCCTTGTATTAAATCAGCACCGTTTGCCTCTATCAAAGAGAAGGGTTATTTTGAGGAAGAAGATGAAATTCTCTTCTCAATGCACACCGTCTTCCGGGTGGGTGAAATTAAAGAAATCGACAATGAAAATCAACTTTATCAAGTTGAATTACAATTAACTTCGGATGATGATCCACAACTACGATTACTTACTGATCGGATACGAGAAGAAGCTATTGGTAAAACTGGATGGGTAAGATTGGCTAATTTATTGATTAAAATTGGTCAACCTAATAAAGCCGAAGAACTTTATAATGCATTATTCGAACAGACATCTAATGAGGGTCAAAAAGCGGCTTATTGCAATCAGTTGGGGTATCTCAAAGATGATCAGGGTGATTATGAAAAAGCTATTTTGTACTACGAAAAAGAACTTGAATTTCAACAAAAAAATCTTCCTCCAAATCATTCTTTGTTGGCCACTTCATACAACAACATCGCTAGTATGTATCACAAGATGGGAAACTATTCGAAAGCACTTTCATTTTTTAAAAACGACCTTGAAATTCAACAAAAAACTCTTCCATTAAACAATCCTCGTTTAGCTACTTCATACAACAACATCGGTAGTATGTATTACGAGATGGGAGAGTATTCGGCAGCGCTCTCATTTTACGAAAGAGCACTTGAAATGCAACAAAAAACTCTTCCTTCAAATCATCCTGATTTAGCGACTTCATACAACAACATCGGTATGGTGTATCACAAGATAGAAGAGTACTCAAAAGCACTTTCATTTCATGAAAAAGCACTTGAAATTAAACAAAAATCTCTTCCTTCAAGTCATCCTGATTTTGCGACTTCATACAACAACATTGGTTTGGTATATAACAAGATGGGAGAGTACTCGAAAGCGCTCTCGTTTCACGAAAAAGCACTTGAAATTTATCAAAGAACTCTTCCTTCAAATCATTCTGATTTGGCTAATTCATACGCTAACATCGGTAGTGTGTATAACAGCACAGGAGAGTTTCCTAAAGCACTTACGTTTTTTGGAAAAGAGCTCGAAATTCGACAAAAATCTCTTTCTCTAAATCATTCTGATTTAGCGACTTCATACAACAACATTGGTTTGGTGTATCACAAGATGGACGAGTACTCAAAAGCACTTCCATTTCACGAAAAAGCACTTGAAATTTGTCAAAAAAATCTTCCTTTAAGTCATCCTGATTTAGTGACTTCATACGACAACATCGGTATAGTGCATCACAGGATGGGAGAGTATTCTAAAGCACTTTCATTTTACGAAAAAGCACTTGAAATTCGACAGAAAACTCTCCGTTTAAACCATTCTGATTTTACGATTTCATACAACAACATCGGTAGTGTGTATGAGAGCACGGGAGAGTACTCGAAAGCACTTTCATCTCACGAAAAAGCACTTGAAATTTGTCAAAAAACTGTTCCTTCGAATCATCTTCATTTGGCACAGTCATACAACAACATC